CTAGGCTTTCCCAAGAAATGACTGTGAACCTTCTTCAAACTTGAAGGCTGTAATTAATACATGAATTAAACTAAAATGACTTGCCAACCTTCCCTCTCTTTTATTTAAAGACACCCTTTTAACTTATGGCCTTAGAGTGTTGAGAATCATTTAGCTTCAGTTCCACTGTATCAATGAAATCACCACTTTTGGCTTAAAAAGAGCATTATCATTTGAGAAAAAAATCATATTTGTAATACAAATTTTTAGATGAAGGATTAGTTTTTAGACAGGGAAGAAGCTAGATGATCATCTGTCAGGGTTGATGTGTAGGGTTTCCTCCACTGGGTGGAAGGCTGAATGGCTAATCTTGAAGGCCCCTACAAATCTGAGAGATTCTATGTCCAAGTCTGGAATAACAGAGGCTTTTCTGCCATTAAACTGATGGGTGTAGTCATTTGGCTATGCCTTACTGAAGACTCCCCACATTATAAGAGAATATGAGATGAAAGTATGTAGTAGATAAACTATAATGTTTCTGAGACTTGTTCTATTGTTTTGAGATTGTTAATGCCTAGGCCTGCCTACACACACACACCCTGGTCTAGTTCATGTTTTGCTTTGCACATTTGTACTGATTAATATCATAGCAACATACACTTCCACTACTGTGAGCACTCCACAGTTTCTCTGCTGATCTTGTCAATCACCTTCTTACTGCTTAAAAAGTCAAAATATTGATATGATCCCACATAAAACAGGGGCTATTTGTGTAAATTATAAATAATACCCAGAGGCATTCAGCATCCTACTCGACTAGTGACAAATATATATGCATTACATTATAATTCATTCTCAACTACACATGATGTTAAGTTTACTGTTGCTCCTAGGAAGAGAATCAGGATTGTCAATTTAGAGAGAAATGAGAACAGATGTTGAAAAAAAGTTAGCACATTATAGAAGACTTAAAGGGATCTAAATCGAAAATTATCTTCAACTTGCATCCATCATTAATTTTCCTCTATAGTATGTTTCTCCTTGGATATAACACATTAAAATAAAATAAAAATCTCTATAACAGATTGAAAACAAATGCAGAATAAAATCATACTCTTTCATAACAAATGGAAAACATGGTTTTTTCATAGGAAAAGCAAATGTGATCTTTACAAGAATACATACTTTAAAATTATTATTATTGCTAGTATAACTTTTGCCTTTTATATTAGCACTTTTACTTCCAACTAATATTTATCTCATGTCATCTGCTTGAGATCCCAGAACTTAAAGGATGAGGAGAATTAAGGGACTGGTCAGAGTTTACATGGTTGACAGCAAAGCCAATCCTAGAACTCATGCATCCTATGTGCACTGGCACACATGGACCATATCTTGGTGAATTCAGATAAGGTCCAAATTTCTTAACAAGGTATGGGAAGATTTTCATTATACAACCAAAGCAACCTTTCATCAACTTCCTCTTCTTCTGAATATTCTCTCTTATTTTATGTTTTTCTACCTGTTGTCCCTTCTCCTAGAATATTACCCCTCGCTCATTCTCCTTTTGGGAAACTCTTTTTTCTACTGTATCAAAATCCAGCTGAAAAGTCAATTCAACTTCTCTGGGCATCTGGTTGCTCCTTACCCTCTTGCTGCTTCCAAGCACTGATTATAGCATCTGTTACACTAGATTATAATTATTTTTCTATCAGTCTCCCTTCTTGTAAACAGTAAATATCTTATATTTGCACCAGGTGTTGAAACATAACTAACAGAAAAATAAATAAAAATGAATTCTTACTGGGAAAAATGTAAAGGATTACATAAGTTATTATTAGACAGTTCACATATTGCCTATTAAAGTGGCACACTATTTCTTATTCCTTTTTTTATACTTTTCTCTCATAGACTAGTTAGGATTGTTCTTTCTGTTTTTTTCCTAAATAAGGTACTAAGAAAATAAAACCCTACTAATAGGGAGAAAAATCTTATTTTTAGTAAATATGAATCTATAACCTATGACATCAAATGACTTCATCTGTTCTTTCCTAGGTTTTTTCAACAAAATTTTGTATATAGCAATTGCATCTAATGATCTGGCTTACTATATTAGGAGAAAACCAAAAGGCAGAAATCTTCCTACAGATAAGCAAAAAGTAACCATCTGGAATTTACATTTTTTTTGCATAAAGGGAAGAAATACACATGCAAATTACAAAAAATACATAGATTAAACACCTGGATTAAAAAATGCCAAGTGAAAATAAAATCAGAAATTATTATAAAATGGCTTCTTTTTAACTTTTACTGATAATTTTAACAAGTCTACCATTTTAAAAGGAATTATCTTCTTTATAGATATCTGTAAAATAAAAATTACAGGAGAAATAAAGCAACAAATAATTACTAGTAGCAAAAAGAGAACAGGAACTTTTAATTCTTTTATGTATTACTGTTAAAAATCTATACGGAAGACTTCATACTGCTTGTGAAATTTCTTTGCATCCTAAATCTCAGCTTGATGTCAATGAGCCATGAAATGAAACCTTGGAGAATTCCTGCCGCACAATGGAATGAAGGTCTCAACACAGCTTTTCATTCCTTTTGCTAGGTACTCCTGATGTAATAGACTATCTGCTCTGAATAAAGTATACTGCCAAAATGCTACATCACAGATCAAAATTAGATAGAAAAGAACAAAAGACATACATAAATAAGAGCTAAAAAGTGACTTGCAATAAATACTTTGTTTTTTACTATTTAACACAATGATTTTTACATTTAACACAAATGTATTTTGCTTCATAAATATATTAATATAACTAAAAGATAAATTAAGAGTAAATATAGCCTTGCCCTTATTTTTTAATATGGAAGAGATGTTCCTATAAATACATTTGCAAATATTTCATTTTCTCACCTAAGGCCCCTCTGATGTAACAAAAGTATTAATCTCTGACTCTATTAAAGTTGGAAAACAGAAACCTGGTAGTTACTGATCAAGATCACAAAACTTGAGAATCTTTACTCAAATATAGCTATTTCTAATTCTAATCTATGAGACAAATTAGAGCAAAAAAAAAATACTCATCATAATAGCTTCTTAATTTTAAAGCCATAAAGCACATGAGTAATTAAATAAATGCAAGCAAGGAATGGGCTGCAGATATGCACAAGTGCACATATGCACCCAAGTATGTGTGGTCAAGCGTGGAAGGAGTAAAAATGTTGAGAACTGATAGAGAGGAAGAAGATAGTCAATGTTGCTCACAGAGTCTCAGAAAGACAGTGTTTATTTCCCCTGCAATACAAAATGGAGCCATATAATCTCTCTCCTTCAAAAGGTCTTTGGATTATCTTGTTAATTACACATATTGAATGGACTTAAACAATCTTACTACAGAACAACTGCCATTCAATATGTTCCCAGTGTAACTTTTAGATAATACCATAGGACTATGTTTGTTTTGTTTTGCTTTTTCTGGTCATCTACACTTTCGTCAAATGTTAGAGTCAACCAATAGATATGTGTGTTACCTGTGACCTGGGCGAAGAAGATGGGAAAATATAAGGAGGGGAAGCAGCCTTTAATGAGTACTAGATGATTTATGTGTGGCACCTCATTTACCCTACAAAAATGCCATGTGGTTAGTTTGCTAAGCCTGATTATAGAAATGAGGAAGTTTGTGAGCTTCTTGAGAACTGGAGGAGCTTCAAGCTCTCCCCACCCCTTTCCTCCACTATTATCAACACAAGACTGAGTCTATATCAGCACCTGATGCACTGTCCAGAACATATTATGCAAATAAAAGGGATTACCTGAATAGACTGAAGGTGGCAAATACGTATTTGCTGGTGGATTAAAAAATGTACTGTTACAACATCACAAGGTAATGAAATACAAAAACTTTAATGGTATTAAAAAGATAGTCTTTTCCATCCAGATTAAAAATAAAAACTTCAAGATGGTGTGAGTGACATTTATGCATGAAATCCTATGTCATGATGATAATAAAATACTATATATAAAACTTAAGTACCTGTACAACCAACAGACCATGAAAAAGAAAACGGAATTCTAATCCTAGTTCTTCCTCTAACCTAAAGCAAATCAATTAAATTTTGTGGGTTTTTATCCTATCTGCAAAATGAAGTTTTGGCCAGGATGAGTTCTAAGAACGCTTAAAGGTTTAAATAGTTCCTGTTCTATAAAATGCTGGAAAATTTGGTCTAGACTACTTCATTTGAATATGAATCTTAGTAACCAGGAGAGCAATCAAATCTTACACATGATAGTATAGGCACACTTGAAACTCTGATAACGACTCAATATGTTCGACACTATAAATTTAACCTTCGAATACTTCCACAAGACTGATACAAATATCAATGTTCCCCAAAATGCAGTTGTTTGTCCCAAAGTAACTTTACTTCATTTTAAGAATATTCAGAGTTTATGTTTTCAGTGGACACTTGAGCCTTACCTCTTTCCTGTCTTGCTGTCTTCTTCTTTACCCTTCTTCCTCCGAACCATACACTGCACTGTTATCTGATTCATAACAGTCTGATACGTTCCAAAAAGAGATGTCTAACTATTCTAAATCTCCCTCTTCTGACTTACCATGAAATTTAAAGGAACCAGTACTAAGACAATGTTTTTATCCTGCTTTCTATATTATAGGACACTTTTTTCACCCCATTAAGATCTTATAAGGGAAAACCATACAAACTTCACAAAAAACTCTAGCAAGAGCTAATCAATGAAGAGAAAAAGCTATACTTTGAAATTCAATAGTCAGTAAAAAATATAAAATTACAGTCTGTTAATGATTCAGAATAAAAACAAAATTATATTGTAATAGGAAATAGCAGAGGAATTAGAAAATTCGTCATATAGTTAAGTTTAAAATTTAGTGTCTTTTAAAAGTCTTGATATTTATTGTCAAGAAAAAAAAATCAATTTGCTAGCATGCAGCTTTGGTTTGCCCTTTTCAATCGAGCACTGTTGTAAAGGATACTTAGTACCAGAATAATGTGTGACTCTGCCACGAATTGAGCCTGGCTGCTTCCATGGATGTAACTCTATAAAACAAGACAAAGAAACAAAAATTATAATCTGGGGAAAAGCAGATTTTTTTTGATAGCTTTTTTTGTATTTTGTAGTTTTATGCCATGAAGATAAACAATTGGAAAATCTACTGATTAAGCTCTTATTTATAATTCTTTTGAATAAAGTCACTACGAATTGGAAATAACAGATGAAAATGTTGATTGATATTACTGTAAACTGTAGAAAGCAACTTGAAAGCAAAAGTAAACTTAACCTACCTTGTGAAAAGGTTTAGCACAAACACATACACACAATGTAATGATTCTTCCAGAGTTACTGCAAAATGTACTTGACAGCACAAGGTACAAATTAGAGCAACTAAGTTTACTGATTGATCATCCTTTAAAACAAGTAAAAAATAATCTGTCAAACGTTAAATCACTGTCTTCCTCATTATCAAAGTGTTTAAGGAGACAGCTTTATAAATGGATTCATTCCATTAGAGCATTTCAATTGATTTTTTCAAAATATAATTATTAAAACTGTTTTACCTCATTGAGAAATGTAGTTTTCTGTACCTAGTAAGAACTATATTAGTTGATACCAGTTGATTATAGAAAATCTGACACAAATCTCCACCTAGGAAATCTTGCTCTTAAAAAACTGACTCTACAGAATTTCTGTTGTTAATGTCTCCTATGAAAATTAGTTGCTATGCAGTTGCTTTAAATAAAAGTCACTTTCTAAGTTTTGTATTTAAACAAAATTCTGTTGAAAAAAAATGACACCTACAATATAAATCAATGTCCCCAATTTTATATCACATATGAAGCACAAGTGTATCATTTGAGAGGACCAAAAATTTTCCTTTGTGTTTATTTTTGACAATAAATATGGATGAGAGCATGTTTGCTTTAATGGAAAGAATATTTGAGTCAGAATATTCCTTCTTGGCCTTAAGCTTGCACATGTCACCAAATCTTTTAGAAAGTCAACACCCCCTCATATATAAAATTAGGACGTGAATTAGGTGATTCCTACAATCCTTCCGAAGTGGATAAAGTCTTCTGTGTTTTGCCATCAATCCTGTCTTGGTATTCTCAGGTAAAGGCAGTTCTTGATCTTCTGATCTCACTGTCTTTGTTTCCATGTCTAATTTCTCAGTGATTCACAGCACAGCTGCCTTATCCAAAGGTGTGTTTAGATGTATTCTGCAAGCACAGCTTCAAGCAAACAGGCAAAAAGACAAGCCACTGCTGCTTCATCCACTGCAGCTTCTGAGGAATCCTATCACATGTGTTTTCTTCTGACTCTATCCACTGAGGTGTCGCTATATGGAGACAAGGAAGGCTTTGAAAATCATAACCTAGTTGCTGTCTAGTCATTCAAGATTTTTAACATTACTAATGAATGACAATAGTGAAATTACCAAAAAATGGAAGTAAAACAAATACAATACTATAAGCTATACCTGACATCGCTTCAAGTCTGATTAGAAACTAAGACCCTCAGAACTAAGAAACAAAGGTTTTATTATGCTATATAATTATAACAGCAAGGATAATAACTAATGCAACCATACCAAGTACTAATAATGACAACTACCATTTATCAAGCACTCAGTTGGGGTAAAACACTTAGAAGTTTCACATGCAATATCTCATTTAATTCTAATAATCCTACGAGGGAGGTATTTTTATCACAGCAATTTTTTTTTTTTTTTTTTTTGAGGAAGATTAGCCCTAAGCTAACTACTGCCAGTCCTCCTCTTCCTGCTGAGGAAGCCCGGCCGTGAGCCAACATCCGTGCCCATCTTCCTCTACTTTATATGTGGGACGCCTACCACAGCATGGCGTGCCAAGTGGTGCCATGTCCACACCCGGGATCCGAACCGGCAAAACCCGGACGACCGAGAAGCAAAACGTGCAAACTTAACCGCTGCGCCACCAGGCCGGTCCCTATCACAGCAATTTTATAGATAAGGTGACTAAGGCTTAAGAGAGGTAAAGAAATTTGTCCAGGTTTTCACATCTACTATATGTAAACTCTGGGATTTGAAATTAGGTTTGTTTGACTTCAGATCCTGAGCTGTCATTCACTATACTACTTTGTTATTTGCTGGACATTTGACTGGATGCTTCATATGTTATCCCATTGTGGCTTCTTAAGAACCATATAAAATAGTTAATATCACGTTATCTTCCAAATGAGGAAACTGAGATTGAGAGAAATTAACTTACTTAAGATTGCACAAGTAATTGGTGGAATTTGGACTGAAACCCGAGTCTGCTGACCTCCAAGGTCCATGTCTTTTCCACCATATAATAACAACTTATCAAAAGACAACAAGAAAATCAAGTGAAACATTTTCTAAAGCTTTATCTGGCAATCACATAATTAAATGTTGACTGTTAAAGTAACTAAAATCAACATTTATATGACTGACTAAAATGCCTGAATATAACATTACTGAATAATATGCCAGATTTATAAAGCAACTACAAGGTAGTCGCCTATATTAGAGTCACATATTTAGAGAAGAAATTCAGATATTTTCTAAGTGATTGTTTTCAAAATTTTTTGTTTAAGTAATAGAATCTTCTCTGGTCTGTCATCGACCTCCGCCCTTCAAATCCTCTGGTCTTATCTCAGTCTTACTTAATTTGATCTGCCTGAAGAATCTGCTGCATGTGATCACTCTCTCCTTTTTTGCAACACTTTCTTCACCTGACTTCCAGGATGCCACTCTTGACTCACCCACTGCACTGCTTCTTCTTCCTCAGGCCCCTTGGCCGTTCCCTCTCATCCTAACTCTAAATTCTGGAGTATCTCAGAGCTCCATGGACTGAAGCCTATTCTCTATACTTAACCTTCCCAGGTGTTGTCATCCAATCCCACGACTTTAATTATCATTTCTATACTGACAATTCCCACATTTCTATCTCCGGCCAGTTCTTGAGATTTGTATGTTGGTCTGATACACATCCATCTCCACTTGGTAGTCTAATAGTTTTTACTAACAGACTCCGCTTGGAAGTATAAAACTTAAAATGGTCAAAAACAAACTTTTGATATGCCTCCCTTTCTATCCCAGAAACAGCAACTTAATTTTCCCAGTTGTTTAGGCCAAAACCTTGGAAGTATCCTTGTCTCTACTTCTCTCCTCCCTCCCTCCCTTCCCATATCTCCAATCATTCAGAAGATACACTTGACTATACTTCAAGATGCATTCCAAATTCAACCACTTGTCACCCCTCCCAGGAAGTACTGGCAAAGGAGCCTGAGGACAAGGGCCACGCCGCATTACCTGGTCCTGTCATCATCTCTTGCCTAGATTATTGCAATAGCCCTCTTTGTTCTCCCTGGCGTTACCCTATAGTCTATTTGTCAGATTAATCCTGTTGAAACTAATCAGATTCTATCATTACCCTACTCAGAACCTTTCTCAAATGTGTGAGAAAAATGTATCATGCAATCTATTTGCTGCTTCCAGTCCCAACACCAAAGAACCTATATATCTCTAATTTAAAAATACAGCTAGGTTAAAAGAAATCCACACTTGGTCCTCAGAGACTTATTTCACTATAACTGATCTATAACACTTGCAGCTTTTTTCTTTTATACACGAGGCAGTACAGAGTAAAGGCGTGGAGACAGTCCTGAATCTGCTGCTTGCTAGCTGTGTTATCCTGAACAAATTACTTAACCTCAATGATCTCATCTTTAATAGGAAGAGGAAGATATTCCTCAAAATACTGCCCTAAAAATCAAAAGAAGATAATGTCATGTTAAGTAATTAGAATAATACTTGACTTTTTCCATAGTAAATCATCAAAAATAATCAAGGATATCATTTTAAAGTCTCTACTCCAAACAAACTACTTTGTATCTTCTAAATATTAGATGAGCGTGTTTCAATACCATTCAGAAATTCACTTATATTCACAGGTGAATTAACTGTGTTGAACTGATATTTTAAAAAGATAATATTTAGGAACCTGTCCTAACATTTTATTTTTGTCCATCTTCTTTAGTCATCAAAATCACTTCAAGACCAGACACTCCAGAAGACTTCAGGATTTAATAAACCAGAATTCATTCAATAAGTTTTTATGGAGCAATTATTATGTACCAGGTACTGATTTAGACAATGGGCATCCAACATAACAAAACAGAAAACAAACAAACAAACAAAGACTATGATCTCAGGAGCTTACACATTCAGCCGACAAGAACACGTTTTATGTACCGAAGTGCAACTGAGAGATTATTGGCACATACTAAAAGCCTTAAGAGCAAATACAAGAATAAAAAGACAAACGAGCATTCCAGATGTCTTAAGCATTGACCGTAGACAGGTAGCTTTCATTTATGGGGCCATCTAAAGCAATAACTTAATCCAATTAAGACTGAACTAAAGTCCAAATTTTAAGATGGTTTTAAAATTTTCTATTTAACTGATGCATGTACTTTCAAAATCCTTTGAAAGAAGAAACATTGAGTAACAAACGTCTTTACAGATTTAGCTTGCTGTTCATTTATATTCTTTCCCTCTCTGATTTTTACTAATTTTGACAAGGGAAATATCAGTAACTAATTTAATCCTAAATACATACTTAACTTGTATTTATAAGTGCAATGCATTTGCACATCAGATGACTAGTCTAGAAGGAAATGTGCATGGTCTTTGATATTGGATGCATACCTATTTTTTCCACAGAGACAAATGTTTTGACAAACCATTACTATAAATGTTCTCCACTTGTCCATTCCATTAAATACTTCATAGAGCATATGAACCAAAATCCAAGAAAAGAATGGTTCATAAAAATTACTTAATCAGAAAACTCATTGTCATGACTTAAAGGCCAATTTTATTTAGAAGAAAAATTAGATGATCCGAAGTTTACACAGCAAAATATAAATAAATAAAAATAATACTCAATTTCAAATAATATACTTGAAAATAAAAATTAGCCATATTTTGTTTAATACAATGGTTCTAATACCTCTTACATAACAGTACCAGAAA